GCCCACAATTTAACGCACGAGAAAAAAACAGTCCACCTTCGAACTTCCATCATGCAGAAGTCTCTGAGTGTGATCACCAGCGCCAAGGAGAAGATGCCCGGTCTTTCCAACAAAACGCACAGTGTGGAGGATGCCAGTAAGAAGGGTCTGACGACACCAAGGGGCAGAATGCTGTCTGGGGTGGATGAGACGCCGGAACATTTCCCCAAAATGATCATCAGTCAGTCAGTGGAGTATTCTAAGACTCCGCTGAAGATGGGAATCATGAAACAGCAGGTGATTTGAATTTTATTTATTATTTTACATTTATTTTATTTATTTATTTTATTTTATTTTATGATGTGCTAGTCCCGGCATGGGCATAGTTTTTGACTTGCGGGGCCACTATAGGTCCTAAAATTTGGAGCGTTCATATGAACTAAAACAAATGACATGTAAACGTTAGACAGTAAAGGCTAAAATTGTCTTTTCCATCTATTAGGGAAATGCGGGGATTTGCAGGAGAAAAAAGAAAATATAATTGAAATTTAAATAAATAACATCATTTGGAAAAAGTTTGGTGGGCCCGATAAAAAAAGCCAAACGGACCGCATCCGGCCCCCGGGCCGTAGTTTGACCGTGCCTGTGTTGGTTTAATGCAGGGCTTATTGTTGATTTTGCTTAAGTCACATGAGACACTTGCTTAGGTTTGGCTAAATATAAGGGTTTACAAAATTGTAATTCTTGATTTTTGACCTTCAGAAATAGCTACAGCAGTTTTTTTTTTTTTTAATTGATGATGGACATTTTTGTCCTGCTTCTAGAATGGAAAATAGAGTTTTGCTGGCACGTCTGCAAGCAGCATCATTAAGTTATGATGACAGTCCAAGCCTGTCTGAACGTTAGCAGATGGTTTTTGCTTTGGCAGCAACAACAACTTAAATCATAAACAATTTTTTAATTTTTTTTAATCAAAATGTTTTTCCTACTTTTTTTTTTTTATAAAAGGAAACACAGTAAAAATATACAACTTTCTTCTTTGGTTTCTGACAGGTAAGTGGCAGCCAGCCATCCATTTGCTCAGAAATGGGGAGAAATCTTTACGACGTATCCGAGGTTTGCACCTGGGAAATGGACGAAGAGGAAACGCCGGTGGAACTCAAAGCGCACAAGCACGTCTCGATCGCGTCGGCCGAAACCACCACCACCACCAGCAGCCGCCGAGGCAGCAGCGGCAGCAGCAGCTGCGGCCTGACCAAATCTGGTCGATCTCAGCAGAGACAGAAGCCGGGTCAGTCTCCGTCCAACAGACGGCGCTCGAAAGATAAAAGCGGAGAGAATCACGGCGGCTGCAGAGGACAGAAATCCGGCCCCGTTAGATCGCCGCTTCCTAAGAAGCCTAACGTGTCCACGTTTGAATTTGACGAGCAGCCGATGACGGCGCGAGAGTCGGATTCCATTTCTCCTGATAGGATCAGACGCAAGAAAAGTGTCACGCCTACCGATGGAAAACCCAAGGGCCTCCACTCGGACCACTCCAAATCCACAGGGAGTCTTTTGCAGCCTCCTTCTCTGATGTTGGAAATCTGCCCTTGGGATTACACCAGCCCTCCGTCGCCTGAACGGGAGATCTGCACCCGTCCGGCCGCGCACAAGAAGAAACGCAAAGGTTCCTGCTCGTCGAACCACAGAGGCGAAAGAGAGAAAGGGAAGGAAAGGAGCAGGGAACGCAGGAGCTCCTCCAGCAAACCTTCGTCCGAGAGGAGGCGCATCAGTCAGTCGTCGGAGAGCGGCGGACCAGTTCCTGAGCGAAGGAGGAGCTCCACCAGAGACCCGGAGCTGACGGAGATCGGGGGAACAGAGGTCATGTTCTCCGCGGAGACTGAGCCCAAACACCCACACCTCTCCCAGAAACCTAAGCCCTCGCCAGACAGGAAGAAGAGCTCCGGGAGCGGAGGTTCCAAACCTGCTGTCAACACTGAAACAAAAAGGGATGTTTGTCCGTGGGACTTTGAAGACTCTTGCGAGAGAGCGTAATAAAAGGGGAAACAACCGGTTTTATTTATTTTTAAAACATACTTACAGCATGGGTTTTATTTATGTATTTATTTTTAAAACATACTTACAGCACATGAGACGAGGCACAGAAAATGACTGGGAATTGAATTTTTTTTTTTTTCATGTAACAGCCACTATGTCACTTTAAGGTGAAACTGTTTTACAGGACAGCAGGAAAATGTCTCCTGCTGTTGGTCGTGTCACCAAAATAAAGGTTGCACACGTCGACCAGGGTTCCAGGATCTCTGGGTGACGTTTCGATTGCATGGACGTTCAAAAAAAAAACATTACATGAGCCGTTCAACACCCGGTGGTCAGCGTTGTTTTGATGCATGTCCGTGACGCCACCTCCGTTGCTCTCGATTGGTTCAGGTGAAAATTAGAACAGTACTCGAACAGTACTAAAAAAAATCTGCAAATCTGCAATGTACTGAGGGAGTGAAAGGAGAACTGCAATATATATATATATATATATATAAATATATATTTAAATATATTTAAATATATATTTATATATATATATATATATATATATTGCAGTTCTCCTTTCACTCCCTCAGTACATTGCAGATTTGCAGATTTAAATATATATTTAAATATATATTTAAATCTGCAATGTACTGAGGGAGTGAAAGGAGAACTGCAATATATATATATATATATATATAAATATATATTTAAATATATTTAAATATATATTTATATATATATATTGCAGCAGGAGAACTGCAATATATATATATATATATATATATGTGTATATATATATATATATATAAAAAAATATTTAAATATATATTTAAATATATTTAAATATATATTTAAATATATATTTAAATATATATTTAAATATGCCCGTGTTTCATTGCAGAGAATATAACATCGAAGTCACTTTGGAAAGATACGAAGCTGCACATTTTGCCTGCATGTTGCATATTGTACACGTGTGTGTGTGTGTTCTATTCCGGTGCTTACATTGAGTTGCATGTGTAGAGATTAGCCGCTCCTTTTTCTATTTCTCCGATGACAATCGATACAGACGGTCAGGCCAGAATCAAGCCACTGAAGGAGGGCGACCGTCAGAAGATATAGAAGCAGGTATAGCTGTAAAGGGAAGTGGATGTTTCTGTATTCATTAGTAGATTTGACCTACGGTAGGTCTTTCTTGACAATCTTATCGAAGTGCAGTTGAATATTCAGATTCCTCCTCTCTCTCTCTCTCTCTCTCTTTTTAACAAAAGAAATGAGTAGACTGGAAGAGTCAGAACAGTTGTTTTTAGTTCGTTCCAAACCTACACCTTGGCATGTCTTGACATGCATAAAGGCTAAAATGCTAAAATGTTTTTATCATCTTCTATGCCATCTGCAAGTAAAACGCGGGTATTACAGGAAAAAGGCAGAAGTACAATGATAATATAAATTATATAATTTGGCCGGCCAGATTAAAAAGATGAACAGGCCACATCCGGCCCCCGAGCCTCAGTTTGGCCATGCCTGGTATAGAATATAAAAAATAAAAAATATATAAAGAAGATTTAAAAAGTATTCAAAAATATACAACTACATTTTATTAGTATCCTCTCCTGGAGGAAATATAATAATCCAATTTTAGAAACAATATTTTTAAAAAATATATTTAATTTTTTTTTTTTTTTTGCTACTGCCACGGCTTGTTTCATTCGCAATTGTGTCGGGGGTTTGGTTCCATCATTGGACTTTTCAGCTGTCAGTTTCACTCTGTATTCATTCATATTTCCATATCTCCTGTGCGGTTTAGACTTGTTCCTCTCTGCATCACCATTACCAAGTTACTGTACCAACAGTTCGTATGAATACACGTGCCATTGCAGCCCTAATACAGTATATATTATGCTTGTGAATCTACAGTATAAACATGGTACTCCGAAGAGGTGTAAATTGTCATCGCCTCTACATGAGAGTGTTTCTATGGTACATTTGTATCGTGCTGCATGTGCAGAGAACAAAAAGTATTCTGTGTCATCAACTCTGAATTAAATATTTCTACCAGGAAAGGACTCTTTGTTTGTCGTTGCCCATAGTTATGTATTTAGTTTTGATCTGATTATTTGTGGAAGTGTCATCTTAATGGTAATGTTATTAAATAACAAACTAAAAAAAATATTCTAGCCAGATGTGAGTCAAATTTGAGATTATCTATCTTTATTATATATTTATTTTATATTTATTATATATTTATTTATATTTATAAATATATTTATATTTATTTTATTATATATTTATTTTATATATTTTTGACCAATATATATATACATTTTTGTTGTACTGCATTATCAGGTAAAATGGAGTTATACAAAAAAAACCTGGAATTATGATGTTATATTATAATAAACTTGAATTATATATTAGATAAAAATGTGAAAATCACTAATATACATGTATAAAAAAAGATGTGGTGGGATGGAAGGGCGCTACGTAGCAAATTAACTTGTGCAACTCTGCCATCGTGTGGAAATGGGGTAGGAAAACTTGAATTAATTTAGCACCGTCATATTAGCATTTGTTTTGAGCTTTTCGGTTCTACACGATGGGCACAGGCAGTTGCATAAGGCTAAAGCAAATGGCTCACCTTTGTTTGTGCCCTGCTTCATGTTTAGCAAGGTAAGGTAAAAAAAAAAAAAAGCTATAGGGAATATTATAGAAAATATATTTTTTTTGCCAAAACGTCAAGCTAAAAACAATAGCCAAAACGGGTTAATAATACATAAAAGCTTAAGAATTACCACCCGAAGACTGTGTTACCGGATTAAGGTAAAAGTTTTATTTTATATAGTTATATTTTATTTTTATTTTTTTAAAATCTTTTTAACGTTTCTAACGTTTTTGTTCACTATACGTGTTTCCGGTAATTAATAGTTTCACAAAATGTAGTAAAACAACCGCAGTAATAGTGACGTCAGGGGGTGTTTCCTTCCGGCCACTCACTGTGGCTCTGACTACAATAACGTCACACGCCAGTGAAGTTACGGAGCTCGGTTTGGATTAGCACGCAGTCGAACAGCTGGGCATTTTTTTTTCAAAACAATTAGCACCTATTGATACTTAGCATACATCTTGATTAATCGAACAACATGGGTAACGCACAGGTAAAGAAAACGACCTACATTCATTTGTTCATGTCAACTTTTGCTGATACTTATTGGAACTGTTACGTCAGAGGAGTTGAATAAATTAAAGGTCTGAAACGCGTAGACAAAAGTTAAATGCTGCAGATTTAGAACGGCGACAGCAGAAATGGTCTATTCTGTTAGTACAGACTTTGAGCTAAATTGTCGCAGCAGCTCAAGGAAATTTCCAGAAACTGTAAACAATCAGACCGCATTGTGTTCAATGTGATGTGGGAGTAAAATCAAGGAGGGAGGGAAGGATGAGGATGAGGATGATGATGATGCTGATGCTATGCTACATGAGAAAGCCGGATCATAGCTGCGACGCCCTTTTCCTGAAGCAGAGCAAAAAAAAAAAAAAGAAGTGTGATTTAGTCTTAACTATGTGTTGTTTACTTCTTTCTTTGTTTTTTTTCTATTCCGATATTAATTTCTTTTGGTTCTGACATGTACAGTATTATTCTTCTTGACACAATTAAATTCTTTCAAAACGTAATGTTTATATTTTGTGGTTTTATGCTGAACTACATTTAAAAACTTTTTTTAAAAAAGAACGTTTTGCGTTGTTGTTGTTTTTTTTTACCAGTCTCCAACCAATTATTTTTTTAACGTTTGTAATATAATGTTGGTTCAGATAAATGTTTCTATCAATGTTTTTAACGTTTGTAATATAATTTTGGTTCAGATAAATGTTTCTATCAATGTACTTTTTAAAATGTAAAAAAATAAATACTTTCTCCTTCACCTGAAAATGTTTTAGTTAATTTATATAACTTTACCAATAAAGTAATCCTACATAATCCAGTATTCTTTTCCAGCCCACCATTGTCCCGTATGAAGACTTCGACGCAGCCGCGGACATCAAAACCATCAGAAAAGCCTGCAAAGGTTTAGGTACATCTGCAAGATATTAACTCATTGTACAATATTGGTGATATTTTTTTTCCCTAACCTATTTTTTTTACTTTTATAAAAACACGTCTGTGATATTTTGTACTAGAAATCAGAAATAAAATTAAGAAATTAATTTCGCCAGCAGGAAAGTACCAAACAACCTCTCTTCAGATCCCCCCCCCGTTTTCACTATTTTGGTTTAGCCCAACCCACACGCCGACAGATTAAAGAACGTACTAGAAAGCCTAGGTCGAGGGGTTTGGTTTATATTTATTTAAATTTGAGCATTTCATTTACAGTCTACCGTGTCAAAACTATCAACACAGTGGCAGCATTTTACAAAAAAAAAAAGATAAAGGAAAAAAGTCTTGTGAAAGGTTTGCACGCAACTGTTGACATATTAGCTCGACTACGAACATGTTATACGAACATATCAGAACGGTCATATTCGATGTTTTAAGCTAATTACCGTTTTATAACTGCAGAGGCATTTTTTTTTCTTAAAGTGGACTTTATTAGTAAAGTTAATACTCTATCCGTGTTTTTAATTCTATTAACTATTCAGTAATTATTACATTTGTTTAGCTTAAGAAAATTGACTCTTTTTTTTTTTTTGTATGGCTGTAATGCCACACTTAATTTATGCTGCGTCATATTTTTTCCGACTTGAATTCTTGTCTTATGTTTCTAAGTGCTGTACTTTGTTGTTGAGTATTAGGGAAAACTGTGAACTAGCCTATTGTGTTGTGTGCATTCTTGGTCTGCGTCCTCCACAGGAACGGATGAAGAAGCCATTATTCAGATTCTGGCCAATCGTTCTTCAGCTCAACGTGTAGAGATAAAACGGGCATACTTTGAAAAGTATGATGATGTAAGTGCACGCTCCCGGTGTCTTATGACAGAGTGTGAGATTAAAGGTTTTGAATCAACTAGTGTTTTTCGTGTTTGTAGGAGCTGGAGGAAGTCTTGAAGAAAGAGCTGACGGGCAGCTTTGAAAATGCCATTCTTGCCATGTTGGATCCTCAATATGTTTACTTCGCCAAGGAGCTGAAGAAGGCCATGAAAGGCGCGGGCACCGATGAAGCCGTGTTGGTGGAGATTCTGTGCACAGCCACCAATGAGGTCGGACAACTACAGATACATTTGTCTTTTTTTTTTTTTTCTGTCATTACGACACTGAATAACAGGCTAGGTTCAGAGATGATGCCAGATATAATTTTATTTCCTCCACCAAGATGCATTGATGTAGGGCCAGATATAATTTTATTTCCTCCACCAAACTTTTACCAGATTTTATAATTTATTTATATTATCATAATACTTCTGCCTTTTCCATGCAATACCCCCAGTAGATGGCACTAAAATGCTTTTAGCACCATCTCTCTGCTCCTTACCCGGCCCCCCTGTTCAATTTTAGCACCAATTGTGGCCCGCAAGTCAAAAAGTTTGCCCACGCCTGAGCTAGACTGTCTAACAATAGAAAAAAAAAATCACAATTTCTTGTTGCTTCTATGAGAACTCAAAACAACCAAAGGCACTAATTACAATCAACTAAGCAATTTAGCTGAAAGCGAATCGGATAAAGCATAAATGTTATGTAGCGTGTCCCTTTTTTTATTTCCATGCATTATAAATTGAAATACAGATACAGACCTTGTTAACGACAAATTGTCTTCCCAACAGGATATTATGAGCTACAAGGATGCGTATTCTGCAGGTAAATTTCCAACCAGAATCCAAAAGCTAACAATTTCCTGTTTTCTCTCATATAAAACGTGAGCCTAAATGTCCAAGAAACCGTTCATTTTCCAAAAATATAGTATAAAAAAAAAAAAAAGACATTTTGACTTTATCCTGCAGTTCATGAGACAGAGCTGGAAGCTGACATTGAGGATGACACCAGCGGAGATGTGAGGAACCTACTGATGTCGCTGCTTCAGGTAAACACCAACGTTGTCGGATATATTTAAAAGTCACAAGACACATTTTAGCCCGAGTGGACGGAGCAAATGGAGGAATGATAATAGAGTTCAAAAAGTGAAGACTATAACGAGAGAAAGAGAGAGAGACAGAGAGAGAGAGGAGGGATAGCCAGTGTTATTGACATGACATCAGAGTGCTCGGTGCATCATGGGAGTTGCCCCAGCAGTCTATGCCTAGAGCAACTAAGACGAACTCAGGTTCATCTGAGCCAGCCTTACGAATACAATTGATCTAAAAGAACGGCTTTTAGTCTGTATCGATTGTGAGTAATTATATCATGGACATGGAGTGATTTGGAAAACAAAGATATTATAATTGGCCAGTCTGTGGCCCAGCGGCGAATCAGGCTTGTGATTTCAAATCCCACCAATTCCCTAACCTATAATCAATGGCCAGATTCAGACAGTCCCCAAGATCCTCCCGAGATAGTTTTAGTCCCGTCCATTTTGTCCTCAGACATTCACACGATTCCCCTTGTGTCCTCCAAGTAACATCTCTTCTTCTGTCTGTTTCTCACAGGCCAGCAGGGATGAAGGTTACGAGGTGGACGAAGGTTTAGCAGAACAGGATGCGATGTCTTTATTCGAGGTAAGGCAGCAACATCAGTCGGAGCCTTAACATAAAAAAAACAACTATCAATCAATAAAAAACATTTTAATTTCATTTTTAACTTTCCACCAGAACTGTTTTGGGTTAATTCTTTGACAATTTAATTCTTGAAATATTTTTTGAAATTTTTTTTTGTATATATTTCGAAAATTTTAAACACTACTACTACTATTTTCCGATCTTCACCTGGCTAATTGAATTGAAGCACAGCGGGGCTTCGAGACGCACGTTTAATCCGTTCCGCAACAGCACTCGTATCACAAAAGCATTTTCCCTATTACAAAAAAATAGCAAAAAAACAATAAATTCGTTTCCTCCCCCTGAAGTATACTAATCATTAAATAAATTAACGTTTCCTCCCCCGAAGTATACTAATCATTAAATAAATTAAATTCCACCCTGTCTAGACATCAAAAACATAGATATAAACAAATAGAAAAATGGAACTCGTTTTTTCGGAGCAGAAGCTTCAAAGAAAAATATCAGGAAAGCACAGAGTTAACTCCGGTATCCGGTGAACTTGGCGTGTTCGACGTCGTCTCCTCATCTGATGTCAGGGTTGCGTAGCCCAAGGACACGTGATGAAACTTCTTTTAGGGTTTTGGGTTTGAGGAGATTTGGACTTTTGGAGGTTAATCAGTCTACAGTTCCGTCAGGGGAGTTTGATCTGACGCAACGCAAGTTGAAGCCTCTCTAATCCCATTCTGGGTGTAGTGGTGGTATTTTAAGCTATTTAATGTGTCTTAGTGCAATTGGGTGTGGACCATGGGATTATTGGATATACAGTGCTCTGCCTATATGTTATGGTTTTTTTTGTTTTGTTTTTTTTTTCTCCCATTCTCCAGGCAGGAGAAGGAAGATTTGGTACAGATGAGTCGACCTTTACCTTTATCCTTACTCACAGGAACTACATGCAGCTCCAGGCCACTTTTAAGACCTATGAGACAGTAAGTACTTTACATTACATTCCTTTTTTAAACAAAAAACAAATATTAAATGTTTTTCTAATATTAGCTTTCAGAAACTGATATTTTGGACACCATCGATGCGGAAGCGACAGGAACTCTGAAGGACTGTTACATCACTCTCGGTGTGTGGCGGCAGAATGATTCGAACCGTCTTTTCGAGGCCTTTTCCGTTCCTGTTGTGTCACAACCTGCTTCTATGTTTGTGTGATTTTTTTTTTTTTTAGTGAGATGTGCAATGAACCCACAGCTGTATTTTGCTCGACGCCTTAATGCGGCCATGAAGGGCGTCGGAACCGACGAGGACACGTTGATACGAATCATTGTCGGCCGTTCTGAGGTGGGTAGTTTGTGAGTAGGAGAATGGGTTCGTTCCTTTTTTCCTTCATTCTTTCCTTCCTTCCTTCCTTCCTTCTTTCTTTCCTTCCTTCCTTCTTTCTTTCCTTCCTTCCTTCTTTCTTTCCTTCCTTCCTTCCTTTATTCCTTCCTTCTTTCTTCCTTCCTTCTTTCCTTCCTTCCTTTCTTCCTTCCTTCCTTCCTTTCTTCCTTCCGTCCTTCTTTCCTTCCTTCCTTCATTCCTTCCTTCCTTCCTTTATTCCTTCCTTCCTTCCTTCCTTCCTTTATTCCTTCCTTCTTTCTTTCCTTCCTTCCTTCCTTTATTCCTTCCTTCCTTCCTTTATTCCTTCCTTCATTCCTTCCTTCCTTTCTTCCTTCCTTCCTTCCTTTCTTCCTTCCTTCCTTCCTTTCTTCCTTCCTTCCTTCTTTCCTTCCTTCCTTCCTTCATTCCTTTATTCTTTCCTTCCTTTCTTCAACCCTTCTTTCCTTCTTTCATTCCTTCCTTCACTCCTTCTTTCCTACATTCCTTCCTTTCTTCCTTCCCTCCTTCCTTCCTTCCCTCCTCCTTTCCTTCCTTCAATTATTTTATTGTTCTTTCCTTCCTCCCTTCCTTCAATTATTTTATTTTTCCTTCCTTTCTTTCTTTCTTCCTTTCTTCTTTCCTTCCTTCCTTCTTTCCTTCCTTCAATTATTTTATTCTTCCTTCCTTCATTCCTAAATGTTTTTCTTTCTTCCTTTTTTCTTTTCTTTCTTCCTTTCTTCTTTCCTTCCTTCCTTCATTCCTTCTTTCCTTCCTCCCTTCCTTTCTTCCTTCTTTCCTTCCTCCCTTCCTTTCTTCCTTCCTTCCTTCATCCCTTCCTTCCTTCCACCCTTCCTTCCTTCCACCCTTCCTTCCTTCCTTCCTTCCTTGGACACACTAATGAAATCTTTGGTTTAAACACTGGGCTGAACCCCCAACCCCCTCCTCAAATAAAAAACCCCCAATAATAACTATCCATGCTTCAAATTTTGACAGGAAGTTCTGCAAGACTTCTCCAATTAAAGATGTAAACCGTCCGAGCATATCCAGACTCTTACCTATAACCAAAGCCTGACGTTGCGTTATAAATGGCTGTAATCTAGAGATCAGTTTAGAGGTATTTTGTGATGATCAGTCGTCTCTTTCCAACCCACAGATTGACCTGGAGACCATAAAGGACATGTACCTGGAGAAGTACGACGTGACTCTGAAGGACGCCCTGGACTCAGAATGTGGTGGGGATTTCAAACGTCTTCTCATTGAGATCCTGCACTAGGATCCTTTACACTTTCCTCTCACGGGCCTTTAATTTAACGCTAACGCACCTTTACTCGTTCTTCGCGTCTTCCTCGTTTTAGCCTCTGTGGACGTCGTGTCCCTGTCTGTGTCTTTAGAGACAGTTCCCGGTATATCAAACCAATGCATTTATTGTCTATTAATTGCTGCTCCACTAGCATATTATATTACATAAGTATATTAAAAAAAAATATAAACAAGTGAGATACAGTATATGTACGTATGTAGCTATGTAGTTTTTTTTCATAATCACACACTTAATATGACTTATTTATTTTATTTTAACTTAATTAATTATAAAATCGTTGTTATTAGTCACAGAGATCAAAGCAATCTGATGGGCCCGATTAACAAGTGTTGCCTGATGAAATAGAATTAAGAAAAATATAATACAATTAGAATGCTTTAAAAATATGAATTTTATAGTCTTCTCCCCAAGTATATGTGTGGGGGTTTTAACTGGTTCTAGTCTTGTTTTTAACCTAACTTTTCACCTTTGTACGCAGGTAACAACCCGTTGCCTTTTTAAAAAAAAAATGAATTTATCGGTTGTTAAATTCATTACTTACTTTTTATGTTTCCATTTATCACTGTAACTCCTTTCACGTTACGATATATTTCCGAAAACTATAAATGATATTTAAAAAAAAAACAAAATTATCCTCACACATAAAAAAATCAATCTTTGTGAAACTTAAATACACATGCAACCAATCAAATTCGTTTCTTGTTCTAGAATGGTAATAAATTCAAGATGTCCCCCCAGTAGTGTTTTTTCTTTTAGTTTCCGATAGGGGGCAGTGTTACGCTACCTACGTTTATGCCGCCTTCAGGGGAAAATACCAGCGTCAGCTCGATTGGTAAATCTGATTTTATAGAGTTTAAAAACACACTAACATGTAAGCTAATTATTATATTTAATTGGTATGTGTATTTGTTAATTATAATTATTTTTACACTATTTTTTTCTACGTTTCTTGGGATGGGGCAAGTCGTGGATTTAAAGCGATATATTTATAGCTTTTAAAAAAATGTCATTTTTTTTAGTATGCTTTATTTACAACTCTATACATTGGTGGGGCAAGTCGTGGATTTATAGCTTTTAAAAAATATCTTTTTTTAATATGCTTTATTTACAACTCTATACATTGCGTCTTTTGGTTTCTTACGTCGTTTAGATACGTAACGTTGTGTTTTTGGATCGGTAAAGCAGCGTATCAATCTCGCATGTAAACGCAGCTCACTAAAATCTTAGTCTCAGTAAGTTGTGTTTACATCTGCCTGAAAACGTTTTGGTGAGCACGGACGTGCTGGAAGCAGATATGGAAAGAAGAAAAGTTCAAAACGACTAAGAACAGTTTCCAGATGCAGGCAGTGCATTTCTCTCTTTTCTTACATTACTCTTACATTCTTTCTCCCACAGCTTTAACTCTTGTCTTTTTTCCTACGCCTAAAGTTCTCAGTACTTCGACAGGAATGGGAGAACGCCACATTAATGTTCCCTGTATGGCCAAAGACTGTTCACCATATGTAGCCCACTTCGTCCTCCACCTCAGTCGACACTAATCAGTAATACCATCTTACAAAAATGTACACATATATATGAATATATATACATATATACATATATATGTATATATATGTGTGTATATATATT